GGACGCCCATCATTGGTCCCTCGCTCCTCCCTGAGCAGGTTTTCAGACTCATTTGTTTGTTTTTCAGGAGTCTCAAAGGTGCCGCTTCCTTCTACCCGTCTGATCCTCCATAAAAGCTCATGGACAGCTTGGAGGGGACCGGACAGCAACGCTCTTCAGCTCGTCCCTCCGGTCATCAGCGGGTTGTGGTCCAGCAGAGCTGCTCCACATTAAGAATATCCAGACTGGATCATTTCCAAGATGGAGAAACGAGCTACCAGAGCAACAGGCCCCTGTCTGTCTTCATAAACTCCTACAGACCCACCTCTCCACAGAGCAGCTTCTATCCTAACTCCTCCAGACCTCTGGACCCTCTACTCCTCTTTCTGAGCTTCCCTCTATCTCTTAACATAAGCATAAACATAAGAGCCCTTAATGACAGCTTTAAAGCCCCAAAAACTGCAGTAAAAGCCACAAAAAACAGCTTTAAAAACCCTCAAACAACAGTTTTAAAGCCCCAAAAACTGCTGTAAAAGCCACAAAAAACGGCTTTTAAAGCCCCCAAAAAACAGCTTTAAAAACCCTCAAACAACAGTTTTAAAGCCCCCAAAAGTGCTTTAAAAGCCATAAAAACTGCTTTAAAGACCCAAAAAATCAGCTTTAAGATGGAGGAAGGACCCACCAGAGCAGCAGGTCCCTGTCTGTCCTCATAAACTCCTCCAGACCCCCCTCTCCACAGAGCAGCTTCTATCCCAACTCCTCCAGACCTGTGGACCCTCGACTCCTCTTTCTGAGCTTCCCTCCATCTCCTCCTGTCTCCTTCTGACTCTGACTGGGGTTTTTTTCCTCCAGAAAACTGATTGTCAGACTGACGATAACTGGAACGTTGTGTCTGCTTTGTGATTCTCTTTGGATGAAAGCGTGTAAAGGCAGAAACATGAACACAAACCCCACGGCTCTCTGCCATCTGCACCGGCCAGACGGCTAATGGGATTTAGACGGTGACCAGGCGATGGACGCCAGGCTGGAGGAGGCCAAAGACCCCAGACTGGAGATCCTGTGGAGGCCCAAAGGCCCCAAACTGGAGACCCAAAGGCCCCCAGACTGTTTATGTTTATGCATTTGGCAGACGCTTTTATCCAAAGCGACTTACAGAGTAGACAATCTTACATTTATCATCACTATGACAATAAGCTATATAGAGGAGAAACACTGATCAGAGTCAGTGGTGAGATAGAGGTAGAGGTAGAGGGACTACAGAAGAGTTGTGGGGGGTAGAGGGGTAGAGACTGGAGGCCCAAAGACCCCAGACTTGAAAAGGCCAAAGGCCCTAAACTGGAGGACCCCTGGAGCCCCGTTTTTCCCACATGAGCCGAAACCCATCGGCCTCCCGTCTGTCACAGAAACCATTTGGAGACAGCGCTTTTTCCGCCCTCGGGGAAGGAGGCCATCTCAGAGTTTTGTCTCTTTGGAATTTAGAGCAAGTCACAGATTCATCCGAGGTCAGATTTTAACAGAACGTGCACGTTTTTTCTTCTTATTCTTCAGGTAAAGGAGCCCGTTTCCGACCATGTCAGGGCCCATTCTGTCCCCAGGTTTGAGGTTCTGCCTGTGACCTGTGACCTTTGACCTCCATCCCTTAAGCCTCCTGTCTGAGTTAGGACCCACCAGAGAAGTCCAGCCTTATTTATAATTTAATATAATCACGTGCAGTCAGGATAAATTACCCCGAAAACGTTCCCAGCAAGGTCACAAATACGACAAGGAGGAGGACAGATAAAAGGCATGAAAACACCGATAGCGCGCGAGGCTGCTCGCGCTGCAGAATAAAACCTGTTTATTAGGATGCAAACGTATGGAAAGCAGCCTGGAAATAGACGAATATCAGCCCGGGGCAGGGGACCGGTGGGTGGGACACCACACACCGAGTAATACCGCCTTAGTTACACCAAAAAACCGTTTGGCCGCGTGTCAGCCATCGTTTATTTGCCTTTTTTCCGGTAACCGAACCGCTTTCCGTCCTCCGTAACTTCGAAAAGATGCCTCCAATACACAGAGTTTGTCAAACGCACGAGGAGGATATGTAAACAAAGACCGTGCACTTGAATTTGTGACGGAAAGGAAATGTCTCGTGCTCTCAGACTTCAAAGGAAGAGAAAAAAAAACGTTTGAAAACGAGAGTTTTTTTCCACAAAGCGTCGCCCCGGGATACGGTCAAACGGGCCTATTGTGTGACGTCAGGGGTACCGGTCCGGGGTCGCGTGACGGTGCTGTGGACGGTGCTGCCCACGGGGAGAGGAAATGTCTCGTGCTCTCAGACTTCAAAGGAAAAAAAAAAAAACGTTTGAAAACGAGAGTTTGATTCAGTTGCACCGTTTCTCTTACCGGAACCGGCCTTCCGTTTCTCCGCCGCGCGCCCGTTCCTCCTCCGCGCGCGCCTTCCGCACATGTGCGACGTACAGCTTATGTCTGCAAAGTCCCGTTCATTCAGATGTTATATAGAGCTGCGGCATCCCGGCTCAGCAGCCAATCAGAGGCCGCCCTGAGCCCAGCGGCCCTTAGGCCACGCCCCCCTTTCCAATAGGCCCCGCCCCCCGGTGTCATAATGGACGAAGATCGTCTGTGAGCGGAAGACGGTGCAAACACGGGACCCAGAGGGGTGCACGTTTATAGGATAGATATGTAGATAGATAGATAGATAGATAGATAGATAGATAGATAGATAGATAGATAGATAGATAGATAGATAGATAGATAGATAGATAGATAGATAGATAGATAGATAGATGTTATGATGCTTAATTGGTTCTTATTAAACTTTTTAGAGCCTGAAAGCATCTACAAAGTTTTGAGTTTGAGGATATGTTTGGGGTGCAGAGCAGGAAGTAAATGTAAAATAAAAGAAGAAGATTTAGCCATTTCTTTCCTTGATCATCATGGGAAATGTGAGATC